ACTATGACCTCCCCTGCCCACGGCCCCTTTATACAGTTCATTGACACGATCAACCTCACTGACGTCAATCATTGTCTAGTTTGCAGGTGTGTGCTTACGCGCGCTAGTCCCAATACTCGGCAACAAAATGGCCACGAACATAGGTTGCAGACACCGAGACGCGAATATCAAACGCATAACTTGTGTTTGGTGTAGTGATTATATTCACCAAAAGAAATCGACCTATGTTGCATGCCGCAATACCAGGCTGATGGACCAGCGGCAAACCCTCTGACGCCGCGTGTTCACCTCATTCCCTATCGGCACAAGGCAAACAAACGCCAACGCCACGTCTCTGCGCTAACGATACAATTTATAAAAGAAGGAACATATATACACCGACGGATGGTCAATTAAAATGCACACTAACCAATACAGTCTGTCTACAACCACCAAATATGCTGCGTTCAGAAAGTGCGGGGTGACCTTATGTGGCTCACCACTCCAGTTTCCTCCCATCTAATTATGAATATTACAAAAGGATAATTACTCAAGCCACTTATGGTCTGTCACTCAACAATCGCAGCTTAAAATGTGTTGATTCTGTACACCAACTTCTACAGAAGCACAACTTTCCTTTTTTAGAGATCACCCATCTTGAGTTTCCCAATTATTATCTTCACACTTCAGGCATCCCCAAAGCTAGTGTTTGTGCTTTTACCTGTCATTCAATTGCTTGTATCTCATCAAACGCTAGTTCCAATCTATGCAAATGAAACTTTGGTTCCGTTCATTGAATCACTACTTCTGCACAGTGTACGTTCCCCAAATAGTGGTGACTCCTTACTCTGATATTTTATCGACAAGCATTGATAATATATCGTTGGAGCAGACCTCAAAACTCAGTTCAGTTCTAAAGTTCATAATACTCTTCCGGGATATCACTCCTTGGGCGCGAAGCAGAATCATTTGCTCCATTAAGCAACTTATACCAACTGTTAAATTTCCTGACCGTTCTGATGACCACCCTCATACCCTCGATCTTGTCCTCAAGTCTTACCCACAATTATTTTTTTAATGCCGCGGATCCTTTCCTGGAATCATTAGACAATTCTGTAATTTCGCTTTCTACCCAAATTATCCGTTCCATACTTCCCAATTCCTGACGCACATTCTGACGATACGGTTCGGCTCATTAGTGAAGCTTTCATAACTTTCTGACCTGAATCGACTGTTGCGTCTCCATCTCTGCTTCGAAATTTTCCAAGTTTCTTTTGCATGACACGTGCTTATTTACTCCTCAGTTTGCTAAACCTGGCAAACCTTTCTCCAGAGTACCAACGTCTGTTGTCGCGCTATTCGCAAAAAGAAATAAGCGTTCCGCCGCTGGTTCTTGTTAGCACACAACTACTGTACAACCGTCGTACAGAAGGCTGAAGAGTGCTTTGTTGACTGCAAAGCAGCACAACTATCAACCGCTCCTTCTGGAAACCGGGTATTCTTGTCAATTACCAAGACAGTTTCTCGTAGCCTCTGTTCAACTAAATTCCGAACCGTTGTTAAATCATTTTGTGAATTAATGTCCGATCCGCTTGAAAAAGACGAGTTGTTTGCATCCCATTCTCTTTCCTAATTGAATTATTCTTCCAACTCTCCAGCGAATCACCCTTTCAGACCACTTATTTCCACCAGAAAGATACGTCAGATCCCCTTGTCACTGGACCCGACAGGATTTACTTCGTCCTCAAAATATGCCCCCCAGAACTGACCTCTTAAGCTTATTCCGGGGTACTCCCATCCCTATGGAAAATAACAGAAATATTTCCCACCCCGAAACACGACGAACACTTAGGCCCAAATAAATTTCGCTCCATTTCTCTCACATCAGTTATTTTGAGGGTTACGGATTCAGTCATCGTTGATCAACTCCGTCGAAACAGGGAGTAGAACAAGATGTTCAGCGACCGTCATTATCGTCTTCGGTTCCATCGATCTACTGGCGTTCATTTCGCATACATGGTCAGTGGCACGCGACAACCACGGAGAAACCCATACCATCATCATCGTACAGCGAAATACAGTGAAACGAAATTCACTGATCGCAATGCACCCAAGGTTAGAAGTAAAATGCAAGACGGACAGGAACCGGACCTACTTTGAGGGAAGGTGAATCTCTATGGTCAACACAGAGTGCGCAATCGAACTCTGCATACATACTGTTTCAAGCATTCTGGCTTGATAAGAAATGACAAGAAGGCCACTGCTGTCGGTTTGCTGCCATATCCTTCAATGTCTCCAACCAACCAGTTGTGGAGTCTTTCGGACCCCGACCTGGAAGGCGCATGACACCCACTCCACATAATGGCTCTGCGCGTTTCTTCATGCCTCATCTCCACGTCATCTGTTGACTTCCACGTGGTTTCCTCCTGCCCGGAGCAGCTACAGCGAATAGAGCGTGATGTGGTAGACGATAGCTGGGCATACGCATCTCCATATAGTGAAATCGGATATCGAAAGCTTTTAATCTTATCTGGCACACAGGTCTGCGGGCTAAACTAACTAAGTTTGGCTTTCCTTCGGAACTTGTGTCCTGGATAGCAAGCTACCACCACGACCGAAGCATGTCCGCTCGAGATGGGACCATGTCTCGTTCCGTGCCTCGGAATGCTGATGTCCCCAATATTTTGTACTTTCCGCTTTCCTGATGTTCATAGATGGCCTTGTTTGTCCGACTTAAAATCCTATTTGTCTTCTGTGTCATGTTCTTCTTCATGATTCGCTAACTCCAACATTAACGATGGCATATCCTCTCTCAGCTTTTCCTAAATTCTGATATTGGTCTTATTTCTGTATGGGATTGTCGCAAGTGGGTTTTCTTTAATGGCACTAAAACTTCGATTATGTCCATTTCCCAAACACGAATCTTTCTCTCGATCGCTAAATTTGAACATGGACATTTTTTGTTCCACAGATCCATGCAACCCATTAGGACCATTCTTACCTTCTGCCCTTATACGGTTACCATACATTTATTTACTTGCCTCCTACGCTGCGAGCAAAATCTTCCTGTTCAGCGCCAGACGATTCTCCACCGCCATTCCAATCCTCTCGTTCACGGAGCTCAGGTTCGCCCTACACTTGGATACTGCAGTCACGCGAAGTGGAGATTTATCCACTTCTGTCTCTTCATGATCGTCTCGCCAACGACCAGTCCCTCCCTAACATGCAACTTGCAGTCACTAGCTCACTTTCCAGTAAGCGCTGCCTTATCCTTATCTTGTCGACAATATTTTGGATTTTGCTCTAGTGAACTTGNTTAGGTCCAGCACACAAGCGGCTAGCCACCCACTTCAAGTGACTACTTCAACTCAAACCTTGTGGCTTTTTCCTAAGAACAGCGCAATTGTGGAACTCACTCCTTTTCAGTTTTGCCTCCAACTTACAACATCTTTGTCTTTAAAGCCAGAATTAAAAGTTGTTTTTAGCTCGAATGCTCCCTTTTTGTTACACACCGGTGACGAACAGCAGATAGGGTGGAACCCCAAAGTCAAGACCTGTTGTTCAGTGATGGTAACCGGTAACGTAAGCCCTGGGACTTGGAGTGGTGAACCACATAAGGCCCCGATAGATCAGGCGTGGTATTGAACCTTCCCATGTACAATACATCCTTGGATTATAGGTTTTACCCCTTTTACTGTATTCACTTCTGCGTAATAAAAAATAAACACATGATATAGAGAACATTTCACGTATCTCAGATCCTGGGAAAAAACAAGGCAATCAACTGATAGCTTCAAATGAGGAAAAATCATAAACCGAAGACAATCCATGCGAAATACTTTTTCACTACGTGGATTGGGAATGACACGTCAGCCGATTAATGGACGAGCGGTATGAAAGCACTTTTTATTACACACTTTCATGTGATGAACAGCAGATGGGGTAAACCCCATAGTCACGAGGACCTACTGTTCAGTGATGGAAACCGGTAATCTAAGCCCTGTGACTTGGAGTGGTGAACCACATAAGGCCCCGATAGGTTATGAGTGGTATCTAACCGGACGACAGCAAAGCGTAATCACAATTCTTGGTGTAATCAACAAGGAACCACAAACATAGATTACGTCATGGAAAAACTTATCACAGTTTTGCAAAAATATAATCATCCTACACGATCGTTTGATGGTATGCGGGCATAGGCATGTGCAGAGACTCCTGGATAAAACGACATATAACGTCCGTCCAGTTGGGGCACAGCCATGTGCAATTATGCTTGCCGTCTGGAAAAGTGACTAAACCATGATGTCCATTTTTGGAAAAAGTTATCGGTGTAAATACTTGCGGTGGTGGTCCAATACACTGCGCGTTTGAGTAGGCCTGATATAACTCGTGCATCATCTTCGGTGGAACGATATCGTCAGCCTCTCCAGAAAGGAAGAGGAAAGGAGGTAAAGGTGTCTTCCTCGTGCTAGAACCGATTGAACGCAAACGCTTCAAAGATGGGTATCGGTTGACGAAGAAGTACGTGGGAAGAAGGTAGTTCGTTAGAGAACTCATTGAAGAACCAAAGATGGTTCGTGCCACAGACGGCAATGAAGTGAACGTATTTTCTACCATAACACCACGAATAGGCAAATCAGAATAACTAGTGGCCAAGTGGATCGCGACCGCACCACCGATTGACCTGCCAAACAAATAGATTTTGTCTCCCGCCAAGTCAGATCGATTATGTAAAAACTCCAAAGCCGATCGAGCATCTGCGTAAAGTCCATGCTCGTTGGGCACCCCTGTGCTACGACCGAATCCGCGGTAGTCGATTATGAACATGTTACATTTCACAGCATCCATCACTAATCGACAAAACTGAAGACGATGTCCTGCATTTCCGGCGTTTCCATGAAGCATAAGAATAGTTGGACTGCTAGCACGCACAACAGGATCGCCTATAAGAAGGAGGAATCCCATTATATGTGGTTCACCCGGCCCATCCGGATGCAGTGTGACCAGCTCCCAAGTATCAAATCCATGACTTGCCGGGTTTTCGTACAGCATTCGTGAATGACTGGGCTCGTTGCGCGCATAAACCAGAGCATTCTCAAGCATATGATACAAAAAGGCAATAACAAGGAGAAGCAGTGGGAATGAAATACATAGTGCAAGTGTATCATTCAGATAAGCCAGAGATAGGGTTAACGGAAGCCCAATGTAGAACGGGAATTCGGTAATCAGAGCATATTTCCATTGTTGTTTCTTATATGATCGTCGATAGTTCAGGCCGTCAACCAAGGTGTATCGATAAGCATTCTTGGGGAAAAATGAGTTCCATAGACGCAAGCCCCAACGACGGATGCGCATGAATGAATGCGGCTGTTCGCTTGGATCCTCAGTATTGACTGATTCGTCACCCAGCTGTAAAAGAGCGAAAAGGTGTACTTTAGTGATTTGCACAGTAATCTGTGGTTTTATAGTTCAGGAGCTCATGCGGTTATCGAAAATTTGTAGGCAACGCCATTTTGATCTCAAAGCATTCTAATTCTCCGGACATGTAGCGTGTACATGGGCAAGTGTTCATCTACTGGGTCAAGCATGCGGATACTGCACAATCAAATGCAGTCTACAAACGAAGGTAACGGACACTGGGGGGAGGGGGTGAATTCAGCTGTGATAACTATAAATCACAATGATAAGGTTTGTTACACATAATTTCCTCTCCTTGGTTGGAAAAAAGGCGTGTGTAGGCAAGACTGCGAAGTGTTCCGTGCAGGTAGCAACAGATACCACTCAGTTATGCTGGCTTCGTTATCCTTTAACGTAGGTATACTGGTGATACGCTGCTTCATTGTAGTCTGGTATAATAACAAGCCTAACACGACTGGTGCTTCATGAAGTTCGCTACTGCCGGTTTATGGGTCTAGATCACCGGTTTCATGGTGGAACGGAATATCAACTCGTCCCCTTCTACTGATCACCATGCATCAGTGGTAAAAGGAAAGTTGAATAAGATACGTCAAACAGGGTCCATTAGCGTGATGTCAAATACGGGTCTCAAGTAGCTCTCAATGTCCCGATCGAAAATGTAACCTAACGCATTTTATCCGTCTCATGCCTGGGGGGAAATGACTATAAACGGTGACGAGGACGTGTCGATAATGTCGGTCAAAATGTGAGTTTGGTCAACCGTTTTCGCTGATCGGGACAAGTGACTATGAAGACCGCATCAACCGATACCCTGTCGATCCTAACAACTTGTCAGTCGATTTCAAATACACAATACAACTGATTAGGATTCAGTGAACGAGTAAGGCAAGTATTCCAAAGGAACTATAGCTTACTTGACTCACTGAAATCTAGATACAAAGTTGGGAATTAAAGCCGTGCACCAATGAGTTGTGAATCTAATCTTCCTCATGAAGCATGTACACGATTCACTTGCGTGCACACATCCCACAAAAGTCTCACTGATGAAGAAATGACATCAATTGCCACGATTTGCTTTTACATCTTTTCCCCGTAACCTGATCGGTCGCAGGACACCAACCGGGAAGACAAGAGGAGTTCACTTCATGTATCCGCAGACTCCTTCATGGTTAGTATCCACGTCTTGTTGAATTTCTCGATCCTAGAACGCGATAGGATGGCTGACTGCTGAGTTAGCGCAGCGCGTTCTAACCAGCGAAGTTTACTAGTGAATGTGTCGTAACAACCACTCTTTGGCCAAAGCACTCACAAACACAATCTCGCAATAACCCTTATACCGATGAAACAGTTTAAGAGTTAAATCGGAATTCAATGAGTGATAGATGCCATTCTTGGAATATGCGACGGATCAGGAACAAGACCTACACGCACGATAGCTACAAATGCAATTCTTGAACAAAGTGCAATAGCTACTCAGTTCTAGGGGGAACGCAATCACTCTGATTGAATTACGATCGATTCCACGAAGTGCGGTGAAAAAAACCGAGCCAGAGAAGTTGATCTAATAGCGCGCTGGAGCTGATGAAACCGTAAATACAGTACGTTGATCAGGAAATGANTTTGACCAGTAGAGCCCGAATGCATTCCAGAGCGCCCAGCTTAATCCTAATGTACAATAAGCTTTTATTTCCCGATCAGATACAAACCTTTTTGACACTAAGCAGGGCAAGAGTACTCCAGACAACCTTATTTAACCCAGTAAAACAGCAACAGGTCTTCACTGTGCCGAGCACACGTCCCTCACCAACAAATTCCCTTTCCCATATATCAACTACGGTTCGGAGGCTTGACGTCGTCAGTCTGGAATAGCAATTAAACTAAGTCAAGCTAAACTCTCCTGCTAGCCGACTCTTGCACGAGAAGGGACTGTGATGACTGTCAGTCGGATTTTTATTTCGTGCAAGTTGACGCCCACAAACTATTGTTCTATTGAGTCCACGTGATGCTCACTAAAGGTTGATTGGCAGGCAACTGGAATGCGGGAATCAAAGGAATCACACCACAGGATTTCTGAAAATACCGGTCGTTCAAAACGGAGGGTACGTAGATGTATCTACGTTTTAGTGCATTAGGAGACAGCCCCCCCCCCCCTGGAACGTATCGATTGAGCTCCCAAGTCCATACGGTCTTATTCAGCAGCTGCGACCGATAACCCTAAACAGCATCCAGTCTCCATTTGCAGTATCGTCGATTCGGCTAATTTAGATTTCGATCAAGCTGCAAAGTGAATCTCATACGACCATTCGATCAAGCAATAGGAATGGTACAGAACTCGATGTACAATCCAAATATCAGAGTGCTGCTTTGGCCAGGTGTGAAACAGTTGCATCAGATCAGATAGCATATTTTCCCTTTTGTAGTGAGGTGCGGTCTCAGGAAATTTACCCACAGGTTGCCATTCACAGATTCGCCAAAAGTTCCTGGAAATTTTAGTAGGACGAGTTCCGTCAAGTAACCTGTTTTGGCTATTTAATTTCCTTCATAAAACTACTGACACCAACTGACACCCATATACTTATCTTAATGAACATACATTCGGTAGGGACAAACGATTGTGAAATCAGTCACACGCGCAACTTGATAGGAATTTATTTGACCGAATTAGCGTTGAAAACGCAACACACAGTTATATAAACAGGCTGATTGTCTCGCACATTGTGTATTTGTACAAAATAATTGCGCGGTGATATGAAAGGAACATAAACGGGTTCTGTACATCAGTTCAATCGCCCAGTTAATTAGGAGCTGAGCCCGGCTTTCTTTTCTGCTATCACATAAATCAGAAGACGCCACATCTTTACGACGAAGACTTCAGCCTCCTCGTCGAGAACCTGAAAAAGAGTAAATAACGCGCGTTACTAGAACTTGTAATTAATCGAATTGGATGTAGGATACAGTAAAAACAAAACACAAACAGTTGTGGTGCTCGAAAACAAACGCTTTCTTATTACGAAAATAAACGTTGGATATCGTTTTATTTCCGAGAATACACAGGGATACACCTGAAAATACAAAATTCGGTAAGCTGTGAATGTAACTGCCAAAAGTTGAGAAATTCCAGTACTTTCTTGAGTATAAAGATAAAATTTCGGTCCGGTTTGGAACTTACCATTGCAACTTCGGAGAGAATACGCTCCGGTGGGTTTCGGCGTACGACTTGATCACAAATAAAGTTCGATAGGGTAGCCTCTGCCTCACCGATATAGCTGATGATTTTCTTATCTACCCATGGTTTTATCCTTGTATTTACGAAGTTCTAAAAAAAGGATCAGACAATATAGTTTATTTCCATGCCAACTTTATAGGTGGTGAACGGGAATAAGAAAACAACACTACTGGTTAGATAAAGCCGCACACTTCGCGACAGACGTTTGGCGTTCAACAGTCACACTGGAAACATTTAGTGAATTCGTTCCAAAAAAATTATATACATATCCGCATCGGATGTGGATCGTAGGAATTTACTAACCGCGAAAATCGGAACCGAATAATCTTGAACTCACTTCATCCACCATCTCCCAATCTATTGGAAAACTGAACAAATCCTTCTTGCTGGTAGGAATGCTGTCGATGAGCCGTTTGATCATTGCTTTTTTCTCCTCAGCGGACAAACAGGCTACTAAGGCACTGGTATCGGAGCCGTTTTGAGCATCGGGAACGGTTTCCGTAGATTTGAATGCAGAGGGTGGTAGCCAACTTGGAGTATGTTTCTTGGGCTTATCTTCGGGCTCCTCGTCGGCAAATGCGGCAGCCTTTTTACGCACAACTGGCTCAGCTAAAAAAGAGCGAGTGAGTGACAGATAGTTTTCAAATGGCAAAAAATTAACAAATTCGGTGGCCGTAATAAGCAATATATCATCTCGAGAATCTATGATGAATCAACTACTCCATGCAGCGAGATTTACTGCGATGGCATTTCTCGGTACAACTTTCGAACATCGAATTGATGTTAGTAAACGGAAAAATTTAATGATAAGGATAAATGACTACCAACAATGGACAGCGAACAAACAATAAAATCATTAGTTTTCAACTAAATACTCAATCGTTGAAAGTAAAGGCAACTAAATATCGATTTGTTTACTGTAAAATCGGTATGTAGGTGATGGCGTGTGAATGAGGCCTATTTCGACAAACGTTTCTGAAGTCGGACACCCATCGTTCGACGTTAGCGGCGTTCCGTGAAGCGTTCAAAGACACCAACACCAGTTCGACGTTTTTGTCTTCATCTTAGAACAAAGAAAGTAGTTTCGTAGCTTAATGTTGACACTTACCAAGCAATCCCACTTTCGCTCCTCAGCGACAGTTTCAGCCTGTTCATAGATCGCTCGACTTTTTGGAACTGTGCGTTTGAGGTGATGCCAAAAGACTTACAACTGCTACTTGCAGACAATTATGTGACGAAGAGCAGCTGACCAGTGTTGTTAGCATAACATTTTCAACCAAACCGAGTACAGAACAAGTGAATTACCTGCACTCATTGCAAACAAAAACGTGCTTGAGCCGTCTTTGGACAAACTAACACTTGCTTCATCCACTGGCGTTGGCACAAATTCAGCAGTAAATTGGGATTGAGCATGTCGTCCTCCCTCGCTAGGATTGTTGGATAGAGCTGGTGAATTGTGGTCGGATTCTTGCACCTTTGAGTCGTCTTCTTCGCGGAGCNCCAATGAACTCTATATTCAAAGACCGAAGGATTTGAAAAAAATGATGTTAGCACTAAAATGCCGACAATCGAATAACATCCGTAGCAATGTTTCATACCTTTTCAAGCAGTATGACAAACAAAAACAAGGACACCACCGCTGTCACTTCACTGACATATTCTTCAGCGTCACCGACCAACCAGTTGAAGTTTTTCGGATCCCAACCTGGAAGGCCAGAGACAACTACTATACCTAGTAGCTCTGTGCATTTCTCCAAACCTTGTTTCCACGTCATCTGTTGACTACCATGTGGTTTTCGTCCAGCAGCGCCCAGAAACAAATCCTGCATCTTTATAAAGATTATAGCACTGTGATCTGTGTGGCATAGTCAGGTCTCAGACACGTGTAGTATTCACGTAAGCATATTGCACATACGTCATTTATATTTCGCTTAGGTGTTTGCACGTAGAATAGAAAAATATATAATACCCTCAAGGCCCCGAATCACTGTAGCGATTTGCAAAACCCACTGAACGTAGTGTTCAGGTGCGATGTACAGTGAGAGCTCC